GGGTATGAAGGCGGATGTTACTTCCCGGCTGCCCACACCGTGGAAGAGTGTTTCTTGAGTGACCTGAAAAGTAAGGTAGATTAGCGTTGGTCTTAACGACCTGGGAGCATGACTGCAGAGCCCAACGGACAACTTCTTGAGGCCGGCCAAGCACGGCCTTTTTTGAAAGGTTTTTTGAGCATTAGCTCCGCTCTCATTGTTGCCCTCATTGTCACTATTCATGCATGGTTTTTAATATGAAACATAGAGGGGAATCACAATAATGAAAATGTAGCGAGAAAAATATTTAGTTATTGTTGGAAATAGGTAATGTTACAGCGATAAGCCAATAAGTTTGTTAGCAGGGCATAACTTGGATTAAAGACGTTTCAATGCAAATTCGTGTTGAAGCACTCTAATTGGCACGTTCCTAGCTAATCAACTCGAATGGATAGCTGCAGAAGACTGAAAAACATTTTCGTGTAAAAATTACAAATATATTAACGTTCCTAGTACTGTCATACCTCCACATTCTACTTAGTTGGTATATAATCACGTACAAGTCTTGTTGGCCTTTTTTTAGCGAGTTAGATTTTTGCGGGATGGGGTCACCAACCCCAATCCCAGCCATCCGCCATTATCCTGGCTTAGGACCGGCAGTATACCTGGAGGGTCTGCAAACGGGTCTACAGTCGATTAGCCTGAATTGCAAATCGATGTAAGTCGTCCGACTCTTTATGAAGTTGAGTTAGTAGCCATAGGAAATCTGAAGCGAGGGAGGGCAGCGGGTCCTAATAGACTGACTCCTGAGATTTTTAAGGATTGTAGTCTAGTTTTAACAGTTACATTGACTGAGATCTTATGTAGAATCTGGGAAGTTAGGTTAATCCTATCCAACTGGTCTCAATCACTGATTGTCCCGATCTGTAAGAAAGGAAAAAAGTCCTCTTCTGACAATCACAGGATTCAGTTTAATTTATTAGCCTCGAAAACACTTAGACGCCTAACTAGAGCTCGTAAAGAGCAGACTCGAGGTAACCAAGCTGGTTTCAGATCATGATGTGGCTATAAAGACCACCTATTCGCACTACGACAGGTCGTGGAACACAGACATACATTTAGGCGTCCGACAATAGTTGTCTTCCTGGACCTTGAAGCGACCTTTGGCTCAGTTCATTGTGAGGTTCTGTGGTAGTGTTTGTCATTAAGAGGTGTACCAAAGAAGTACATTAAATTTACAAAAGCTCTCTACTAGAACACTACAGATATGGTGAGAGCTTATGGCGTACTGTCATCGGAATTCAGTACTTCAAGAGGTGTCCGTCGGGGCAGTCCACTTTCTCCATTATTGTTTAATTTTATCATAGACATGCTTCTAGATACAACATTATCTTCGTTTGAATTTTCAGCAGTGGACCTTCTACCAGGAAATTCACTGGTTGACTTAGAATATGCAGATGACATAGTTCTGCTTGGCGAAGACGCTGAAAAAAAGCAGTCTTCTGACTATCCCAAGCAACAATGAAAGCATATTTGGGGTGCAATTATCCTCCTCGAAATGCAAAATTTCGCTTCAAGATTGGCAGATCAATAGATGAAGTATTGAAATTTAATCATTTGAGATGTTTAAGACATGTGTTGTGGATGCCCAACCACTGACTGCTTCGTCGAGCTATGTTTCGCGATGAAGGAATAGGTTGGAAGAAAGCTAGGGTCGGCCAAACCAAAACATGGCAGAAATCCGTAAAGTCACTGACAACTGGACTCAGCCATGTTGGTAGGTGTCGACTACCTGGTTGGGCTCCGCGAGATGATAGAAATCGATGGCGCAGGTGCACCCATTCCTTGTGTTTTTCTAAATCCTAACCTTCTGAATTCCTCATCAGTTTATTTTCTTCTTTTAAGTTTATTTCATCAGATTCTACTTCTTGAATAATATTTTCGAACCCTAATCTCTCCAATTACTGCTAATTCTTCTACATTCTCTGTCACTATGAGATTTGAAGTGACATTTGCATCTCTGTGCTAATGTGGTATGGCAGTTTGAACTGAAGTACGTACGTATGAAGTTCTATTTCGCTGTTGACTGACTGTTTAGCTTACATGTCTAGGCCGTGTTCTGATTTTGGAAACTAGTTGAGCTTTGTGCAGTGTTCTTAGAATACAAAGCAATGCGAATAGCTGGTTTATATAAGAGATCTCTCACAGTGCTTTTTAGCGAATATTTGAGTGTCCAATGATAAACACAGCATACTTCAGACACTGGTAATAAGTATATCTACTGAAGCAGAGTTTGTACTGTAACTCACCAACAAGCTCCAGTACACCTGATGAATTTTATGCTATCTTTGATTGTTCCATTGGTGGTATCTAGACATTAAGATAATATTGGATGCTGTGTCTATTTCAAGACATGTTGAGATGGCATTAATTAGGATAGTAACATCTTACAAATGTAGTTTGCCCTAAAAGCTGCTTGTTTATTCAAAAAATATATATGTCAGATGTGCAACAGACACGTACGTAAAGGTCATTGCCCAGCGAGTCGTACATCCCAGCCCAAAAAGAAACATAAAAGTCTTCGACATATGGTGAAATGAGTTGAATGTAAGCTACTTTGTCTAGTAGCAGCTTACACAATAGGTCGCTGAAGTTGGTCGTTTACTGAATCTTTTATTCGGTTTAACAACACTTTTGAAGACTTCCTGGTATTGACAGGAGAGTGATGCCTCTAGATTTTTCACTCTTTCTGAAATCTCCTTTCTTTAATATTTTGATGAGGTGTCCTTTCCTGTCTGTTGTTGCTTGTTCTTCATCCCAAATCTTGTTGGAGAGAATGTGAAATATTTTTGAAGTTGCTGCCACGTCTGCTTTAATCGCTTCTGCTGGAATGTTGTCTGGTCCCGCTGATTTGCGGCTCTTGATTTGTCTGATGACTATACTAATCTCTTCAATTGTTGGTGGGCCAGCATCAGTTCGGAGGTCTGTGGATGCTGTCTCGATGTTGGGTTGGTTCAGTGGGGCTGGTCTATTCAAGAGTTCCTTTAAGTGTTTCATCCACCTGTTTCTCTGTTCTTCAATGTCGCTGATTACTTCTCCTTCCTTGCTTTTCACTGGTCGTTCTGTTTTACGATAGTTCCCAGCGAGCTTCTTTGTTGTATCGTACAATTTTCCCATCTTCCCTTTTCACGCAGCCTTCTCAACCGTCATTGCTGGAGCTTCTACGTGTTTACGTTTGTCGGCTCTGATGCTCCTATTCATTCGTCTGTTTACTTCCTTGTATTCAGTTTGTGCTTTGGTTTTCTCTGCTCTTGTTCGGCTGATATCGATTGCTGCCTCCTTTTTTTCTCGAATCTTATCCAGGGTATCCACTGAAATCCATTCCTTGTGATAATGTTCCTTGTGGCCCAGGACCTCATTACATTTTCAAGTCATTTCTTCCTTAATCCCTTTCCAGTTATTCTCCATGGCGATCGCTCTTCACTGAGTAGATCGTTAAAGGCTCAGAAGTTTTTACTGAGGGTTATATTTATTAAGTTTGCTTGTATATTGCAGAAAGATTCCATTAAATTATTGCAATCCTGTGTGCCCAATCGTCCAGTGCTTTTTAAGTATAGTTTTATTTTAGCCTCCACCTTGCGGTGATGTGGGTCACATCAACTCCGCTCATTATTCTAAAGACTTCCATTGTCCATCTGAACGTTTTATTGATTCAGATGTGATGTCGTTCTCCCCGTTTTCCAGTGCTTCTTGAGTTTCAGTCTCATTTTTCCGACTAGCAAGTGGTGATCTGATGCTCTATCATCTCCTCTCTTAGTTTTCTTATCCTCCATAGTCCTTCTGAACCTTTTGTTGATGCAGATATGGTCGACTTGGTTCTGTGTAGTATGATCCAGTAAAATGCATGTCGTTTTGTGTATGCGTTTGTGTGAGAATATGGTGCTGCTTATGACTGATTTGTTGAGGGTATATAGGTTTGCAAATCCCTCACCGTTTTTGTTTCTCCCAGTTCATGTTGTCCCATGATGTCTTCATGTCCGATGTTGTCCATTCCTACCTTGACGTTTAGGCCTCTCATCATAATAGTCAAGTCCTTTGATGAGCATTTCTCAATGATTTAATGCGGCCTCTCGTATAATTGATCGTTTTCGTCTATTTAATCGTTGGTAAGCGCTTAGCATTAGATGACGTTCATTTTAATGCCCTTTTTTGTTTTGAAGGGTTCTTTAAAAATCCTGGTTCCATGAGATTCCCATCGTATCAGTGCTTTTTCTGTTTGTTTTATTAGCATAAGTGCGACTCTTTGTGTTTGTGAGACAGTTTCTTCTTCATGACCGGAGTACAACAGCATCTCATGAAGCTAGTCTGTGCCTAACCCGTATCCAATGTGTTTCGCTAATCCCAAATACCACCTGGTTGCATCTTTTCATTTCCACAGCATTTTGAATGGTTACTTCGGCCTGACACATTGTGTAAACATTCCATGTACCTATATTATTGGTTGCTTTAAATGGTTTGAATTGTTTTTATGCTCAGCGTTTTTTAGCGAGTTGATTTTCTACGGTATGGGGTCACTAGCCCAATGTCCAACCGGTAGTAACCCCAGCAGGCATCCTGGCGGAGTTGCGCTAGACCTCCTTTAATCCAATTTATGTTCGGCCAACACCCCTTTGAGCAGATACCTAAGATATGGTTTTGGGGTCCATTTGCTTCCTCATAGCCAGTCTGCTTCTTTGATTTGTTCACCGTTTAGGCAGTGAGGATAATATATTATTGTCTGCTGAGGTTATTGTTTCCAAAGGTTTTATTTCTAAGGTATTGAGCAACATATCAAGAGGTACTCTAACTCGACTCTCCTCACTGACAGTCTTTGAAAACGTTGTGATGTGAAGATTAGTTTAGGTACTTATGGTACACTTAAGTTGAATGTCTGTCAGTTTATAACTATACATGACAATGTACCGATCGTTTTATACACCTATTTTCCTGCTCTTAATCAGAACTTTTACATTTTGATTTAGGTCAAAGCTAAAAGGCGTGAGTTAAAACAAGAACGATCCAATCTACTACAAGGTATATTTTGGATTTTTTGACAGTAAACATTTTACCAATTTATTTATACGTATAACCTCTTTGGAATAGACCAGTTATTTTTATGCCTGAGTGAACAAAATGACGGCTTTTTTGCCTTTATTTTTATGACTTGTGTTATTTCTTCAGTGATCACTTAGGCAAGAAGTGTACCAGTAAAGTAGTGTCCATCTATTAGTGTATGACCTTACTTTGATCTACCATCAATCTATAAATCATTTTAATAATGCACATCTGATAAGATACCCAGACATTAGGCTTACCTCCAATCAATTATGACATTTTATCATATTTATTTTTTGTTAGTATTTTGTATGTAAGCACGGCATTTTATTTTTTGAAAACCGATTCATCTGGCTAATGATCTTGCATTTGATTTCTAATCATTTAGAGGACTTACCTCAGTTATTCATTTTCATGAGGAGCAATGATTTAGTCACATAATAACATTGCGTGTATCTATTGATTAGCATGACAGATTGAATTTTACGATCTAAAATTCGCTGATTGAATCGTGTATAAATTTGCTCTATAACACAAACGTAACTGATATCCAAATTTGCGTTTAACCATGAGGCATTCAGTGTTTGGGGCTTTATGTAAAGGATTTATGTTAGATTTTATTCGTGCATCTCCCTAGTTATATCTACCATTGAGGTGGGCTGCGACAGACATCGATAAAATTTGATGATGTTATCTACTTTTTCCTGAGGTGTCTAGTTAAATGCAGACTAAACCGTGACAACTTTAGGCGTTAGTAGAAAAAGGTTATTAGTTATATTAAGATATTATTAGGAATCGATTATAATTGCCACACTCGTTCGCTACTAATATATCTTTATTCGTCGTATGCATCTCGAAAATACTCCTATGAATGCTTCTTTTGTCGTTATTACCAGGTACAGATTTTTATATTTGGCTTCACGTCACACTCTAAGTGTGAGCGACAGTGACACCGTCCAGTCGCCCTAATTCACTAAATAAGCCTGAGTTCAAACCTATAGCTTAATGGCTGAAAGTCGAATGCTTTGCTCACTTAGCCACTGCTGTACAATCACTTATGTATCTCTGTACACTTGATATTTTTTTCTTTGTTAAGACTTTCATCGAATCAGTTATTTAGATTATAGTTATCTGAACTATTTGTCCCTCATAATCCCACTTTAATAAGTCTGATTCTCAATAAATAAAACTGCTTTCCAGTATCTTAATCACTGAAATCTTTATCTACTGCTAACTGCTAGTCATCTCAAATAATGCGGAACTGGATCGTTTTGTTCTATCATATATTCTATCCGTTTATTACAGTTCCTTACTACAATATTCACAAATGTAGTATTGATCGGATGACTTCAGTGACATTAATAGTTGTCTGAATAATAAAATTCTCTGCAGCATATAATATCAATGAAGATTGTATGGCGTAGTTTACTAGTTTCAGTTTTTCTATCGTAAGCTACGCTGTTGGAGCAAGCCATGTTGTTAGATTTTGACTACTTGGTTGGAGTCTACGCTATTTGAATAACCAGTGACTGGAGATGATAGGTAACATGACTCAGGATCCGTCCAAATGGCCCAGATCTATTCAGTCTGTTTCCTCTGAGTTTAAAAATTACGTTACACTTTTTCTATTCGACAAATTCATTTTTTCTCGAATGTTATCGTGCACATCCAATCTTCCCTAGTACCATCGATCCTGTCATTAATTATACTATGGCACCCAGTTGTTCTGGTGTGGCGTGACTATGATGTAACATCATCGTTGTCAATGTATTGTTTAGTTTCAACATTCTAACCTCAAGTAAAACTCATCTTCTATGCTACACGAATGAGTATTATGTCTATTAATGTAGCAGTTATCAATGGTTAGTATTTTATAAAAAAAGAATTTCACACGGCTTTTGCTATTGACCATAAGTTTATCACACTAACCAATAACGCCCAGACACTTCATCTAAACAACTTCATTTTCCTCCTAACTGCTGCTTTCGTTTCTAATCTTTACGGTGTTTTTTTTTACCAATAAGTCTCTAATTCTACCAACCAGATTGACTTGTATTTACAACTTAGTCGTATTTCAAATTTCACTCAGATGCTGACTAGTCATATTTACGTAGGGATTATCTTGTCTATAAAGTATTTTTTCATTGCCATTTATTTCTTGATTGTTTATCCTCTTTTATAACCTTTCTTTATTCAGGCACATTGTGGAGTTTTTCTAGCAAGTGTTTTTCTTTTTTTTCACCAAAATAGGGCTGAATCATTCGGACTCTGATATTGAGAGTCACGCGAACACTTCGTGTTCTGAGCCAGCCAATATACAACAGAATGTTACCTTACCAATTCAAAAGTCAAATGTAAAAGTTGTTGCTTCTATAGCTCCTTTGGATACACTTGATGTTGATACATGTCGTCCTACTTCTTGTTTGCTCGATTCAACAACAATAAATAAACAACAAATTGATATGCCAGCAAGTTTATCGTCTGATAAAACAAGCGATCAACAACCAGGTGAGCTTTGGCTCTATATTTGTTCGGAATTTATGAGCAACGTGAGTTAGTACGTAAACTTTATATAGTTAAGAAACTTGTCGATTGTTTTGGGTAGCTACAACTTGGTCTTTTTGTTTTCCATTCTTCTTTATTCAGATATTAAATAACTCACGTTCCTTTATCTGTTTTTCTCAATAATTAGACTTAAATCACCCTACAAATGCTGTCATATCCTCATCATCCATTCCTGAAACGGCTTCCAACCTCCCTACAGCCTCTTGTGTTCCTCAAAGTCATACTTCTGTAGCTCCACATGAAACAATATCTAATTCGTTTAATCCAATACCTACCAGTTCAAGTTCAACTGGTGTTGATTTAGAGCGTCTGGCTCTTATACGTCAGGCTCTTCAGTCACCAGACAGCTGGCAGTTCACCTTCGATGAAGTTGACCGAATGCTAAAACAAGCAGCAGCCAAAGTTTCTACCAAAGCAGTTAATAACAACGTTGAATCGCTACAACGTCCAACTCAAACAGAAGCTACTGGATATTTACCAGTGATAGTTAAAGGTATGCCAGTTATTCTTAATTGTCTTAATATTATATTAAGAATATTTTCTATGTACTTGCTCTTTCTTAAACACTTGGATAAATTGATTGCTTTACATTCTTTACTGTAGATAAAATCAGATCACTAAAGATAAAAGGTGAACCAGTCATCCACCCAACAGCAACAGTTGAAGAGCAATCAATAGATTCAAATGAAAAAAGCCGTATTGACACATTAGATTCGTCTAAAACTACCAGCCTTCCAAACACATCCATGATAACCTCTGTTCGTCATATTTCACTTACAAAACAAATGAACAGATCTATCTCTTCTTCCTCTTCGACGTCATCATCATCAGATGAAGACTGTAGTTATAAAAAAACGTATAACGACAAGAAAATCTCACTTCCTGTTAAAGCTAAAGTTGAAGCTGACACAAATAATCCTCCTGTCAAATCAGAATCCACATTATCAGACACTTTACCCATAAAGGGCAGTATTAAAGTAGGTGAATTTCATGCTTTTGGTGGCTGTGCTACAGCTGTGATTGATATGGCAGTGAACCCGACTACTCATGTGGTCTATATTGGAGGACAGAACGGTACTATCGTTGAGTGTGATTTAAAAGTACGAAACAGATTTTAAGTTTATTTTAAAAAAATGTATATTTTGAATTGCATTCTGTATTCATGTTTTATGCACTTTGTAATGAAATTCCCTTTATTTCTTGTAGTTTGATCATTTTATTATTATTTTTTATTAACTGAATTGAATATATTCTCAAATATTTGCAATCAGCTAAGACGAAATTTTAAAATATGTGAAGAACATGAGTGTGAAATAAACACTTCAGTAAAATGGATATTTATTCCGTAGTTAAATCGTTGTCACTCAATGTAAATACTGAACGTCAAACTGTTTAACTCATCACTCTTTTCTTTTGATTTGACACACACAATACACAAAGTATACATTATATCATATGCTCTATTGATGTTCGTACTTTTTTTTGAATAAAATACCAAACTAATAATTGGATTAATTATTAACGTAAGAGTTTCTTTTTTTTTCTTTGTGGATTGATATTATAACCTGCATTGGGTCAGTTTCCATCAGTTCAATGTTGTCAGCTCTTCAACTATATTAAACCTCTAAGAGTTTGATCATACGAAAGTCATTTAATTTTTCTCTACAATTAGTATCCTTACAATCAATGATTTTATTATTTTGGTTTTTTATTTCATGCTTTACAGACTCATCAGTGTGTATCTAAACTTCCACCTAGAGATGCTAGCATTACAAAATTGTGCTTAGATCCGAAGAGTGAATCCATTTTTGTTGGCTATTATGACCATTATTTTGGTGAATACAGCTTAAAAGTTAGTAGTCTTTATTTGTTTCTCTTTCAAGAATTTTTATGTCTTTTTCCCAGTTTATTGTTTTTCTTGTAAGGAATAAACAGATTAATTTGGTTATTTAGCATTCTACTGTTACTATAGAACATATGGTTAAAATGTGTACAGTGTTCATTGTTAAATATTGATATTTTATTCAATAGTATATGCTGTTCATTCTAATCTCGCACCCAGGTAGATGAATATCAAAATTTGTGCTTCAAGAATGTTAATTTATTGCTCTTTTTTCGATGGGATTGTTATTAGTTACTTTAAATTTATAATATCAGATGAATATATATTTCATTTTTTTGTTCGTAATTGTATTTTGAGAACAAACAACGAATAATTTCTATTTGACTAGTTCTATGACATAAAATCAATGTATAAGGTAGAACATCTTTCGAAGTAATGTTATATTTAATCTTTAACTGCATCGTTAACAATAGTCTATTTATTTTGAGAGATTATGCTGAATTATTGCATATGATAATTAGATAGTCTTTTACCGAAATAAAAATGAACTGATACTATTTAATAATGTCGAGATTGTGCAATATTTTAACCTCTGCTCTTAGTAACTTTTAACATAAGTCAGTAGTTGTAATCATCACTGTGCATAAATGTACATCATTCCAAGTTGTTGAACCACATCAGCATCGCAAAATAACGTAACGAAATTCAATTCTATATTATTTACAGTTGTTAGCTACGACACTGAAGGTACCGAATAATAATTTTGCATTCCTCTTTTGTTCTTTTTTTTCTATAGACCAATTTGTTAGTACATAAAAATATTTTTTCCAGTCGTATCGCAGCATTAGCGGTCGCTCCATCACCTGAAGTGCCATATATATATTTAGGTTTCTTTAATGGGGACATATTGCGTTATAATCTTGGGACACATGCAATCGGTTTTCTATGCCGGCATACAACTGGTTACCACCAATCTGATATTGTAAATGATGAAGCAACAAATAGTTTAATACAACAAAAAGAAACTTCAGATTCAACTGAATCAGCTGGTATCACTTCATTGTGTCTTGTACAGTCGGGGACCTCTTTACTTTTAATTGTTGCTAGTTTAGTAAGTTTTACAAATTTGATTAAATTCTCTTTAGTAGTTTCTTTTGTTTAATAGTTTTTAAAAAAGTCACATTAAGTTTGATGAAAAGTTAGGGAAAATTATGTATTTTATTTTTCTGGAGTGAATTTCTTACTTTTAGAATTATTGGAATAGTAAATTACTGTACTTAGTATTTGGCTTGTGGATTTTTCCCAAACCTCTGTATATCGAAACGAAATACGGGAGTTAGTTTTCTGTTACATTCCCCTATATAGTAATTTTATCTCATTTATCCTTTTTATACCACATTTCAGGACAGATCTATTTCTATCCGCTCGGCTGTCAATGGCACATTAGTGTGTTGTATTCAAAGTTCTGTCCAAAAGGGTCCACCCCAAGGTATCGCATGTTTACCCAGTGGCTCCTTTTTCTCATCCTATTCTGATCGTTCCATTCGCATATATAATTGGAAGGTAACTATAATTATCTATGAATTGAGCTTATGTTTGACTATTATTAGTTATTGTCTGTTGCTACAATTTTCATCCAATATAGCAATAATCAATTAACTAACACTCTTTGGTTTTTAACCTTTAGACTTGAAAAAAATGGACAAATTTTCTACATGTAATAATATTGTTTCTGGTCCACTTAACTTGCAGCTCCTCAATGACTGAAGCATTTATTATTTTCGATTCTTATTTACATTGGTACAAATGGAGAACCTACATATTTATGCGCCACGCAAATTAATGGATTTAGGAGTGAGCTAGGATACTACCTGGACGCTCAAATCGAAACAGGTGGTTTCCTTAAGGGGCCAGTCCCTGAGCGTTTGACCCGAAAATCGAATCTTCAGTGCAGTTGAGCAACCCAGGGAGATTCACTCGCATGACAGCCGGTGACCAACAATAGGTTTACACACCATTCGTTCTGTCAAGAACCTGGAGCTTGTGTGCACCATTAGTTTGCGATCAGTGTTTTCCATTTCCCCTAGGTGGATCCTCCATACCTGCCTACCCGGTTAAAGCTCTGGACACTCACTTTTCATCCTCTCAATTTCTTAAACAAAGTCCCGGTTTTGAAAAGGCAGTGTATAGGACTTTCCTGTCATTGGCTATTCACTCCTCGCCGTGTGAAGGGATTTCAAGAAGGGAAGTGGACTCCCCACTCTCGGTCGTAGCAGGGTATTTGGGGGCATTAATCTCACAGGACGTGAAGTAAATCAAAGATTAATGTATTTGTAACTGTAGGAAGAATTTGATTTGACCAATTTGGTCTCGCGTGCTGGTACGGGTATGAGGGCGGTTGTCACTTCCCGGCTGCCCACACCGTGGAAGGTTGTTTCTTGAGGGACCTGAAAAGGAAGATGGATTAGTGTTGGTGCGTGACCGCAGAGTCCAAGGGACAACTGCTTGAGGCCGGTCACGCACGGCCTTTTTATCAAAGGTATTTTGAGGATTAGCTCCGTTCTTAAAGGCCCTTAGTGGGCACCCTTACCCAGGGAGACGGAAATCCGTGAGTTAGGGGGAGTGTGACATTTTTAGGGCCGACCTTTTCTAACCCTTCCTTCCTTGTGAGAAGGCAGCATCGCTGCAGATGCTGGTTGTCCGAGGGAAACACCTTACTGCTGTCACACCCCTCTGCACTCAGCAGTACGACTTCGCCCTCAGACCTTGGGTAGCTGCTTTTAGTCTCATCGTTCTCCAATCGACCTGCCTGGCATGGTAGGATCTGCAGGAACATATGTTCCAGCCAGTATAGCTCGGTTGGGTCATGACGATAGGCAAGCCCGACCACCACGTCAAGGTAGCAGCTTCGGTCGGGTAGCAGCTTCGGTCGGTGGCTCGCTTATTGACTTAGAATATGCCGATGACATTGTCCTACTTGGTGAAGACGCTGACAAAATGCAGAGTCTTCTGACTACCCTAAGCAACAATGCAAGCATGTTCGGGTTGCGATTTTCCCCCTCGAAATGCAAAATGTTGCTTCAAGACTGGGTTGCATCGGCACCTGAACTAGTGATAGGGTGTGAAGTAGTCGAACGTGTAGACCGCTTCACTTATCTTGGGAGTCTCATCAGTGCCGATTGCCTGGTGACTGACGAAATCTCAGCACGGATACAGAAGGCTCGATTGGCTTTTGCCAACCTGCGTCACTTATGGCGTAGGCGAGATATCCGTTTGCTGACTAAAGGACGAGTGTACTGCGCAGTAGTTCGCTCCGTCTTACTTTATGGCTGTGAAACATGGCCAGTGAGAGTAGAAGATATTCGTAGGTTAATGGTTTTCGATCATAGGTGTCTTCGAAGCATTGCTCGTATATCGTGGGACACCCGAGTGAGCAACGCTGTTATTAGGAATCGGGTTCTAGGTAAGAATGGCAGATCAGTCGACGAAGTATTGAAACTTCACCAGTTGAGGTGGTTGGGACATGTGTTGCGTATGCCCAACCACCGGCTGCCTCGTCGAGCCTTGTTTTGTAGTGTAGGAATAGGTTGGAAGAAAGTTAGAGGCGGCCAAACCAAAACATGGCAGAAATCCATGAAGTCATTGACGAGTGGACTTAGCCATGTTGGTAATTGTCGACTACCTGGTTGGGGTCCGCGAGATGATAATAATCGATGGTTAGAGACCTTGAATGACATGGCTCAAAATCGTTCGCAATGGCGCCGGTGCATTTATTCTCTGTGTTCTCTCAAATGCTAATCTTTTTGGATTCTTCAACACCTCTAGTTTCGACTCTCTAAACTTATCTCACTGAATCATACTTCTTGAATAATATCTTCTAATCCTAACCTCTCCGATTATTTCTAATTCCCTTACTACCTCTTCTACTATTGGATTTGAATTGACGATTACTTCTCTGTGCTGATGTGGTATGGCAACATGAACTGATGTACTTATGTACAAAGTTCTACGTTGCATCTGACTGACTGACTGATTTGTAACTGTGAGACTTCGTTCAGCCTTCCTGACCAATCGGAATCAAAAATAAGCGACCCGTAGATGATGTGTGAAATACGCTTCAGTCACCTCAATTAATGTAATTGGACAATCTAATCTTGTTCTATACTTAATCTCAAAGTATTAATAATTTTTTCATGTTCTCTGTTATAGCAAAGTTGTCAAACAGTTAGATCACAGTTACATAAACGTTACTAAAAAATTTCTATTCATTTCTGCTATATAAATCTCTACAAGATGAAACTTCGACTGTAGAGTTTTTCTAAGACTGTTATCGGACACATAGTTAATGTAATTGACCCTCGGGTGTGCAAATGAAATTCTTGTATTCAGTAAACTTTTAGGTAAAATACAGACTTTTGGACATATTGAATGATACTACAAGAATGTTGACATTTAGCTTTAATGTAAGTAAAAGTATTTGATCTTGCTAAGTGGTTCAATGATTCAGGCTTTGTGAATAAACTACTAATAAATGTTGAAATTTTCTAGGTATATACGAATGACCTATTTAACTTTTTTTAAGTGATATTCGCTACAGACAATTACAAGACAGTATGAATTTTCAATGCCTCTTCAAGTTTACAGGTGATTAAAATCTCTCAATTCTCCTCACTGTGACACCGTAGTTTTGAATGTGCCTAATATTTTAGATTAGTATAGGCAGTCTCATTAACATTGCAGCATTATCAGGAAAACCGTCAGTTAGCAACTAGTTAGTACCAACCATACACGACTTTCTATTCATTGTGATATTTTAAAGTATTGTAATGTAAGTTTTTCCGTTATTATTCATTAAAGCTGTATTATAGTCAGTCAGTCAGTCAGTCAGATGCAACGTAGAACTTCGTACGTAAGCACATCAGTTCATGTTGCCATACCACATCAGCACAGAGAAGTAATCGTCAATTCAAATCCAATAGTAGAAGAGGTAGTAAGGGAATTAGAAGTAATCGGAGAGGTTAGGATTAGAAGATACTATTCAAGAGGTATGATTCTGTGAGAAAAGTTTAGAGAGTCGAAACTAGAGGGGTTGAAGAATCCAGAAGATTAGGATTTGAGAGAACACAAAGAATAAATGCACCGGCGCCATTGCGAACGATTTTGAGCCATGTCATTCAAGGTCTCTAACCATCGGTAAGTATCATCTCGCGGACCCCAACCAGGTAGTCGACAATTACCGACATGGCTCAGTCCACTAGTCAATGACTTCATGGATTTCTGCCATGTTTTGGTTTGGCCGCCCCTAGCTTTCTTCCAACCTATTCCTACACTACAAAACAAGGCTCGACGAGGCAGTCGGTGGTTGGGCATACGCAACACATGTCCTAACCACCTCAACTGGTGAAGTTTCAATACTTCATCTATTGATCTGCCATTCTTACCTAGCACCCGATTCCTAATAAGAGCGTTGCTCACTCGGGTGTCCCACGATATACGAGCAATGCTTCTTAAACATCTATGATCGAAAACCAATAACCTACGAATATCTTCTACTCTCATTGGCCATGTTTCACAGCCATAAAGTAAGACGGAGCGAACTACTGCGCAGTACACTCGTCCTTTAGTCAGCAAACGGATATCTCGCCTACGCCATAAGTGACGCAGGTTGGCAAAAGCCAATCGAGCTTTCTGTATCCGTGCTGAGATTTCGTCAGTCACCAGGCCATCGGCACTGATGAGACTCCCAAGATAAGTGAAGCGGTCTACACGTTCGACCACTTCACTCCCTATCACTAGTTCAGGTGCCAATGCAACCCAGTCTTGAAGCAACATTTTGCATTTCGAGGGGGAAAACCGCATCCCGAACATGCTTGCATTGTTGCTTAGGGTGGTCAGAAGACTGCATTTTGTCAGTGTCTTCACCAAGTAGGACAATGTCATCGGCATAGTCTAAGTCAATAAGCGAGCCACCTGGAAGAAGGTCTACTCCTGAAAATTTAGACGAGGATAATGTTATGTCTAGGAGCATGTCTATGATAAAATTAAACAAGAATGGAGAAAGTGGACATCCCTGACGGACACCACTTGAAGTAGAGAATTCCGGTGACAGTTCGCCATAAGCTCTCACTCGACCAGTGGTGTTCGAGTAAAGAGCTTGTATAAGGTTAATGTACTTCTTTGGTACACCTTTCAATGACAGACACTACCACAGAACCTCACGATCCACTGAGTCGAATGCCGCCTTAAGATCCAGGAAAACAACTATTGTAGGACGCCTAAATGTGTGTCTATGTTCCAGGACCTGTCTGAGTGTGAAGACGTGGTCTATACAGCCACGTCCAGGTCGAAAACCAGCCTGGTTTTCTCGAGTCTGCTCTTCACGAACTTTCGTTGAGCGTCGAAGTATTATTGAGGCCAATATTTTAGATACTATATTAGTTAGACTTATTCCCCTGTGACTGTCACAAGAAGACTTCTGTCCTTTCTTATAGATTGCGACAATCAAGGATTGAGACCAGTCGGATGGGATTGCGTCCAGTTCCCAGATTCTACCTAAGATCTCAGTCAATCTAGCTGCTAAAACTGGACCACCATCCTTAAATATCTCAGGGGTCAGTCTATCAGGACCTGCAGCTCGTCCTCGTTTCAGATTTCCTAACGCTTTCTCAACGTCATTAAGACTAGGGGGACTTACGTCGATTTGCCATTCAGGATGACTGGAGATCGTGGGTAACCGAAGAGTGGCTCGTGGCCAGTTGAACTGATCCCTAAAGTGTTCTGCCCATCGATCCAGTCTCCTGCATTGAGAATGGATAATAAGACCATCCTTTTCTGAAATAGTTTCACTCACAGTTGGGTTCCTAATACCAGTTTCCTTGATGAGTCTAAATAGTTGCCTACTGTTGCCTATCGCCGCTGCCTTTTCCATCGCTTTTGCTTTCGCCACCCACCACTGTTCACGGTCGTTACGTAGGCTTTTTATAAGTCTGCGCCTAAGTTGACTACGCTCTTCATCATGTTCAGAGCCAGGTGGGATGAGTTTTCGGGCATCCATCAGATCGGTGGATGCTACTGAGATCCACGGCTTCATTCTAGCCTTATGGTCAACCTTGCTAGCAGATATCACTGCTGTTTCTACAGCCTTTTTGATATCATACCAACCTGCTTCTGGATGGGAATCGCTTAAATGGTTGCTTAACTGTCTTTCTAGTTGCTCCTGAAATATTTTCTTGGTTTTATTATCATTAAGTAAAACCCTAAGAGGCTTTCTTACGGTGTCTTTCCTACGTCCAGTAAGCCTTAAACAGATACGAGCTCGCACTAGAGCATGATCTGAATCCAAACATGTGCTCCAGAACGAGCGACAGTCTTCTATCGAACCCCTCCATCGGTGGCTGATGGCGATGTGATCTAGTTGAGTCCAACGTTGAGACGACTTCGGGGGTCGCCAGGTCAACAGATGCTTTTCCTTATGCCTAAAGTTGGTGTTCGCTAAGAATAGGCGGTTGTCTGAGCATAGTTGCAACAGACGGTCGCCATTGTCTGTTCTCTCAGTCGCTACACCATAACATCCACCTAGATGTCTTTCCTTTTCACCTAGTCTACCTACTTGAGCATTAAAGTCACCAGCCATTACCACTATATCAGAGCGCCTAGCTTTTTGGAGGAGGTCCGAAAGCTTTCTGTAAAATTCATCTTTAACCTCATCTGCACTGCAGTCAGTGGGGGCATAGGCAGATATGACGAATAGGCAACGGCGAGTGTCCCTATCCTTACGAGTCCTTACTGTCCCGTTTTAGTCGGACAGCGCACAAACGACTATCTACTGGGATCCAGTCTAGGAGAGATAATTCTGCCCTAGGACTCAACGCTATGCCTACGCCAGCAAGACCCCTGGAAGCAGCATCAGGGCTACCGGATACACGAAGAGTGAATCGAGCTGCTTCTTCATTTTGACAAGGTGGAATCAGGTTAATGACTTTACTAGGATCCTGTATGCGCGTTTCCGAGACGCAGCATACATCGATGGCACGAGATTCTAAAGTCCTAGCTAATGATGCCTGTTGCCCTATTTGACACAATGTCCGTACATTAAAAGCTCCAACATGTAGTCTAGAACGGGGTTTCAAGAGACCAGGAACGACGTTTCGTGATCTCGCTTCGTTTGCATTAGCGGTGCAGTGAGAAAAGGGAGTGTGAGTAGAGTTAGTCGTAGAAATAAGAGAGACATTAGAGGGTGTAGGAAGGATTTGATTTTGACCAATTCGGTCTCGCGTGCTGTTACGGGTATGAGGGCGGTTGTCACTTCCCGGCTGCCCACACCGTGGAAGGTTGTTTCTTGAGGGACCTGAAAAGGAAGATGGATTAGTGTTGGTGCGTGACCGCAGAGCCCAATGGACAACTGCTTGAGGCCGGTCACGCACGGCCTTTTTATGTAAGGTATTTAGAGGATTAGCTCCGTTCTTAAAGGCCCTTAGTGGGCACCCTTACCCAGGGAGACGGAAATCCGTGAGTTAGGGGAGGTGTGACATTTTTAGGGCCGACCTTTTCTAACCCTTCCTTCCTTGTGAGAAGGCAGCATCGCTGCAGATGCTGGTTGTCCGAGGGAAACACCTTACTGCTGTCACACCCCTCTGCAGTCAGCAGTACGACTTCGCCCTCAGACCTTGGGTAGCTGCTTTTAGTCTCATCGTTCTCCAATCGACCTGCCTGGCATGGTAGGACCTGCAGGAACATGTGTTCCAGCCAGTTTAGCTCGGTTGGGTCATCACGATAGGCAAGCCGGACCACCACGTCAAGGTAGCAGCTTCGGTCGGGGTATTATAGTAGTTAAAGTAATCGACTTTCAGCAACTCAGATTTGGTTTCAAACTCGACTCTGCTTACTTTGTAATGGCCATAAAATATTGTCAGTTTCCATACTATTAAAAGTATGGCTGATAGCTCACAAAATGTGTGTACCTGATCACTAAATTATGTTCTAATTATTAGTTAACTCACGTCTTACCTGCTCACTGAGTTATGTGTAGTCTTGTCGTAAATCGTCTTGTTTTTATTTGATGATTTCCTTTTCATTTATTTTTTATATGAAGACTGGATCTTCCGAATCAACTTTCCATGTTCATAAAGTAGCTAGTTCTTGTGTAATGCAACGCTATATTGCTGTGGGTGACTCAGAAGGTGCAGTTCGTGTTTACAAGTTTCAAGTAAGTGAAGACAATGAGATTAGGTTTAATATAATGATGTGTATTAAATAGTGTATTTTTCCTGTCTATAAATAATTTTAAATCTCAGTATTTTCCGTTTTTCTTACCAATACCAAACTTTAAAAGGTAGATTAGCTTTTTGATTTGTTCATTGTGACTTATTTCGTTATGTAAAATTAATATTCAAGGTAGACTACTTTTCCATTCCAAAACACAGTAAAAGTAAATTTTATCCACAAAGATATCTGGTTGTTGTTGGGTCAGCCTTCAGTATTCATATTATTAGTGTTAGGAAATGTATCTCCATTAATTTTTACTTACTGGTGATATGGAGGTTGATTTTCGTGTTTTTTTTATAAAGAATAGATTGCTTGATTTCTCTGTACATTTTCATTTCTAATGGGCACAAAACAGAAAAGATTAACCATTTCGATTCGCAATGCAAACGTTAGATTTCATACTATGATAGTTCGTTGTCGGAAATCAACCAATATAGGTGATATATTTTGAAATACTGGCAGATGACATCAAACAATTCACATGAGATGTGATTCTAAACTAAGCAAAGGCATTTACCGTCAATTATCTTAACTGTATGCTTTTTTCCTAATATTCTCCACTTCATTTATAGTCAAATGGATTGCCTGTTACACGACCGATAAAAGTCTACTTCATATCTACTCGAGGAGCAGTCACTTCACTGACATCTGTGGGCGACACTGTAAGTTGATTGTAAGAAATTTACTTGTTTATTATTTTGACTGCAGTGCTTATTGGTTGAACAACATAAGTTTCAGCCACCAGCTAAAAAATCCTTCAAACTTAATGTGGTGTGTGAATCGAAGTCGAATGTATTAACTTGGTAGATGATTTATGTAAAATTGTTATTTATTAACGGCGGCTAAGCTTGTAAAATTTTTGAAGCCGTTTTGTTAAATAATTGTCCATGTAATTATTTTTTTTTTGATGCTTGTTCGGAAGATAACTGATATCTAGTGGTTTTTAACGAGTAGAATATGCAGTCGCAGGTACATATTGTTGGTGATTAATGTTTAGTTGTAACTATGACAGATGTTCATGTTCCTTAGTTGAATTGCATAACCATTTATGTAGGAGGCATATCGAATTACTGTAAACACCATCTGGCTTTTACATATAACTTTTTCTATTGTATTTAGCTAATCGCAGGCAGCTTAGATGGATCTGTTACCGTTATCTTAGTCAATGAACCAGCTTCCAACTATGTTTGCCTGGTGAGTTTTGACAAAATATCTCCGTTATTTCACTAAACAACGGTATATTTGTATTGGTAATTTTTATACTTCACAGATGCACTAGGTTTGCTATGTTGACTGGGTTTATGAAGTGATGAACTGTTAATTTGAAAATTATCATGGGTTGCATGCTTCTTGGTTTGAGTCCGTAGAATGATTGTAACCAATCGCTAGCAGTTAAAAAACTGATTCGCAGAAACACTCATCATTTAATTTCCCTTAAATCGTAACTTCACACTGTTCATCTACTTTATATCTATGTTCTGTACGTTTCTTTTTAATTCCTATTAATATTATTATTCCATCTGAGTTTTTGTTCTCACAGTTGATACTTGTTGTGATGTGGTACAGCTCTTTGGCAGTGAACCAATAACCAGTCATTCGTGAAACACTTTATAAGTATAGTCTTCTAAAAAGATTTAGTTTATGCGAGACAGTATAATTACTTAATACATGCACATATTATGATCACAAATCTGACAAGTTTTGCAAAAATAGAATAAGTGCATCTAAGGATAAATAGGATTAAAAAATAAGTTTGTCATAGTACCAACAGTAAATTAAGTATTAAAATCATAGATACATAGCAAATATCAGTAGTTTCTGAACCCGTGTAGCGTTAGTTTGAGGATCTATAGAACTTCAACAAACCTAAGTAAACAGTTATTGACACATTTTAACTGAAATACATAGGATTGTTTCATGTTTAACTATAAACTGGACAAATCATGTATGGGATCAAAGGACCTAAATATATTATGCTCAAATATCTCATATTTGTCACAAATCTGATCTTGTAATTTATACTATAAAAACACGGGGTAGGTTGTCTTGGTTTGGCTGCTGTTTACTCAGTCATCCAGTAGTGGCTAGTGATTATTTGAAGTTTATCAAATAACTGGCAGATAAATGTTTTATTCTTCCAACAGTCTTTTAAAAAATAATCCGACCATTCCAACTTTAAAAATTCGTGGCGTTAGGATTTTTTGTCTCGTCTTTGCATAAGTTCTTTCTACATTGTCAAAGCGTATTAACCAAACCTTTTGAGCAAGCCCATATCTGATATGTTCATTTCGCTGATATTATCCAACTTTTTCATTTCTATTTATATATAATCATTTGGGCTATTACTTTTCTGAATATTTTGCTGTCCATATTAAAACTTTAAAATCTGATCAATTTCATATGAATGTAGCGTATATTTTTGCGGTTACTTTTTAAAAAATTTTCAAGTATGGAAAAAAATATGGAGAAAATTGTGGTATTGGCTTCATGGATCGTCATGACCTTATTCACCATGTGCTTAACGAACACATTAAATTTGAAAATAATAAAACAGTAATGTGCGGGTGGAGTTCGGGTCGTTGCAGGGTTCGATTCACTGAAACACAAACTATGAAGGTAAGTACATACTGTGATATATAAATTTCACTCTCAATCCATAAATTAGTCACATAGTTACGAACTCCGATGACATCCATTTTTAGACGTATCGACAGTACTGTTTTCTGACAAATACATTTATCGTTACCATTCTCATCGAATGTATCTCTTGAAGGGATATAACTTATTAACATTCGAAAAAACGTCTGCTACTTAGCACACCAGTATAGTCACTAACATTTACGACACATCACAGGTTCCACTGAGGAATCATTGTCACTTTACTTGTAGCGTCAATGTGTTGTACGCTAATTTTTTTAGATACGAATTAATAAAGTGTTGAGGATACTTTCTCATTTTCGTAACGAGTTTAAAATGGTTGTTCTTAGTAACACTTGAAATTAACAAGAGTCTTTTATCGGTAACTAAAACAAGTCCCATATTTCCATTGAAATTGTTTCGGCGTACTACATCATCTTTTAAATGTTGTAACTGTTTCAGAGATTGTCATTGGTATCCATTGCTTAATGTGTTGTGAAAATATATCGTAACTTGATATAACTACGATTTTGTGTTTTTTGGAGAGTTTCTGGATTAACTTAGGTAGTCTGACGATACGTCACTAATTTCTTTGTATGTATACCTTACCTAAAAATTCATAAAGTGGGACAGTCAATATATATTGTAAAACCGAATTCGCAACTTATTTGTATAGATCGAACTAGTTCTCGTCAGCTATATACATCCTTCGTTGTCTTACTTTTATAATTTCAAACATTTTTCTATGTTTTCAGTCCATAAGCGATCATCTGTTGACTCACATACCTGATTAATTGATTGTATTCAAAAAGAAAAAGCTTGGCAAATTCAGATGATTTTTTATTGTGGATCTATATGTACAGCCAGTGATTATTAGATTTGTTTTTATGTATATTCACAATAAAAAAATTAACATTTTGTACATTACTGACGGATTCTTTTTGATACGCATTTTCACGTTCTATTGTCCAAAGTTTGCCATACGAGATAAGATGTCTTGTTCGAATGTTTCGAAGTTAGACTTCTAAAAAAATAGAGAAATAAATACAGAGTCGTTTATTATGCAAAATACTACTTGTGTAAGTGCCCTTCTCTTACAACCAGTCATACACTAACTGATCACCAAGCAGTGGCCAATATCTTGTTTATGTGATTCCTAGTGGTGACTGAATTTTATCAATTAAATATCAATCAAGGCACTAGTTTTAGTAACTCGTTGTGTGCACTATATCTTGACGTTAGGTGCTTTAAAATAGTTGTCAGAAAACTCGGAACCTGAGTTCTGTACTAATCGATACTTATCAGCAGGATGCATCTGTAAGTATGGGAGAACTACATTAATTTTAAGTACATCAAGACGGACTATAATGCTCAACTAAAATGTCTGCAAAAGCCATACCATTCCCTATTCTATTGCACTACATTTATTTCAATCCACTTTTTCGTATCTGACGTCTCCCGTTAAACATTTACACTGAGAAAATGTATCTAATCATATAGAAAAATTATTTATACAGACATTTGTCAAGAGGATCTGATGTTTTCTCGGTAATCTGTGGGGTCGCACTATTAATAAACGAGATTGGAAAAAATCGGCATTGTGATCTTTACTTGATAGTAACACGAATATTAATCAGTTTTCAGTCAGTCAGTTGCACGGTAGAACTTCATACGCACGTATATATATCAGTTTAAGCTGCCATACCACGTTGGCATAGAGATCGAATCTTCAATTTAAGTCCTACAGTAGTATAGGTAGTGTTGGGGATGTTAGATCCCCAAAACTCGCTTGATAAATGCCTTATTTCGGATTTCACGTTTGCGAGCATGGGCTGATTTTTTGACCTTGAGGTTTCATTTCCCACCAGGAAAATCCATGGCTGTGATTGGCTCCTGTGTATTTTAGTGTGTTATTTTCGTAACTGTCCCAAGGACGTTTCTATGATGTGTAAATAAACGACAGTTGTGTGCTTGATTGTATTGTGATTGCTGGGTGTTTGTAGAATATACCTTCTACGCTTACAAAGCCTTCTATCTTCAGCTTGGGATTCAAGGTAGCCTATCTAGACGCTGGTAATTGTCTCGTTCGCGTTTATCGACTAAGGTGAACTCGTAATAGCTTCAAGCGTACCTAGTGACGAACCCTACAAGTAGTAGGAGTATTAGAAGCAACGGAGAAATTAGGGATCGAAGATATTACTCAAGAAGCATAATTCAGTTAAATAAATTCAAGAAATAGAAAAAAAAGGTCGTGAGTTTGAGAAAATTCAGTACATCGAAATGTCAAATCATACGATACTTAATTAATTTGTGCAACAAACGCCTAAACATGAAGATGTCTACTTTATTAGTGTTTGAAATCGCACAACTAACACTGGATATTGGGAAGGCGGAACTACTCACTCTACGGGCATGAAAACCTTGACCAAATCGACAACCCGTAGCATTATTTTCTTTTAGCATTCCATCACGACCCCGTTTATTATACTAGTAATTATTTTTACATATACTACCTCCACTTTATTAGTTTACTAGATATGATTCGATGGCAGTGAGTTAGTATACAGACAACGTAATCTACTTAACATTACGTATTTCCAAAAAAACAACCAGTGGTTAGATGTGTGTACTAGTGCATGGTTCATCAGTGTATAAATGAATGAATACTGTGCAAAAACTTTCATCAGTTTAAAATATTTTGCGCTTTATATATGTATGTTACAAAAAGATTGAACTATTAGTATGCATATAACGATTTCAATTTTCATACATTCAGTATCTTAATTTATCAACGTCAGTGTTTCTATACATTGCTTCTCAATGAAATTTATGGGTTTAAAGTAATTTATTTCGCTAGATTTTCTACAGATTTATTCAATTCCCATATAAAACCTACAACGTATGAATCCTAGATGCTACTTATTTTTGTTCTGTATTGGTTTTCGTTTAATTTATACTTATGTATTGTTATGTTAATAGTTACTTTACCATACCATCCATGTGCTTGTTACTCTGTTGTTGGTAAAAGTCACAGCTTATTAGTTTCGAGACATCTCTACACTGGCATAACTGGGTCTAATAAGGAACTAGGTGTCTAATATACTCAATACAGTGGTTACATTCTGTGAATATGAGTAACAGAGATATAAGCAACGTGAAATCTTATACCAATTAAAGGGTAATGAAGACGGCCATACCTTATTATTTAGTGTTGGTTCATACATTGATTTGTCTTCTTCTACTTTTTGATGTTTTACTTTGTCTGAATCAGTGACTATATCTGTGTTATTTGTTGATAACCACGATAAATGAAGGGGTAAACTTGGTAGGCCAATTTTCCCACATGCAGATGCCTTTATTGCTTTTTCCTATAAAGAAAAACAGTTTTTAAAATATTAGCTGATATTCGAATGAGTTAGCTTCCATTTCATCGATGGAATAAACAAGAATTCACGTAAAATTAACAAAAAACCTTTGTATCGTTTTTAATCCAATATTTTAGAGCATGAAAATCATTTTTATCGCTTATCGAGTTACTGATGAGAAAGTTTCTTTTTATGACAAACTAAATTAACTATTTCAGTTGGTGTACGCATAGAAGTAGTTACAATATTTCATTACAGTAGAGACTGAAATGATCCGATGTTTGTTGACAGTTTTTGGGACGGCATTTCTTACATATTTCTTATGATATAAACCATAGCGAAAAGCATACTAACTGCAGATAGGAAAGTTTAGATGAAAAGCCTTCTAATCGGGGTAACTAGGTTTTGAACTATGTTTGTTGGAACAAAAATACTTTTAACAAGCCTATGAGTTTACTGACAGCCAATCGGAAACTGAATAGCGTTCATGTGATGATAAATATAAGCTTCTGGAAACTTTGGATGATACAATTTGGAGAAAAACAGTGCCATTAAGTGGTACTTCTGTACGTTTTTGCATAGCTTCATGCTTGAAACATTTATGTACCATCTACTTTATTCTACTTCATGATTTACTTTACAAATCTTGTGTAAATTACTTAACGTAACAATTACATCTTTTACTGTAAAATAATTGTATAAAAAAATTCTTTGAAACTAAACTTACTGCTTCACTATAGGTTGAAAACTCAGCAATAGCATTTCCACGTTTAGCTACGACCAAAGCTATCACGTTACCAAACTATAACAAAAAGCGATTAGGAAAAAAACTAACTAACAGGTATTTCATCCTTCCCAGGAAAATAATAATAATTATCTTGCGATGAAATCAGTCATTCATTATTGAACAATACTGTGAAGTTAACTAAAAAACTATTAGTAAATAAAACATACCTATATTGATAAACAGATCAACTAAATAGAAGTAAATCTAATAAACTAAAAATTCGCTTACGAAGATATTTACAGTATATATTAAACAATTGTGCTTAACTTCGTCAAAATTTTGGATGTAACGTTTTAATTCGACAAGGAAGATAGCAGCCATACAGTGCGATACGTCATTGATAAGAGTACGTATGTGCTCTACATACAAAAGGAAATAAATTGAGCGACCATATTGTATTTAGCGATCTGTCATTTGACCAGCAAGTGACAGGGAAGTACCCCAAAATTTTACTACGGGCGTGTGTCAAATGAGATAATTTCTTTCGAAGCATTTTTACAAAGATTGCACACTAAATATTGAGAAATAATACATCCTGTTTTGTATGCAAGGACTCAACTTTGAAACAAATTTTTATAGAAGGATTCTAGACATTCTTCATTCAATATACGGCTTACATTAAAGCCGACGTGTATATATCTTCAACCGTGATAGCAAACGTAAGCAACATCCGTCTCATACCCGTAAAAGCACATGAGACCAAATTAGTCTCAATCGGATCCTTCTTACACCTATTAAATCTTATTTCCAAAACCGACCCTTCTCACGTTCCTTTATCACCACGCACCGCTAATGCCAACGATTCAAATACATGAAATGTTATTCCTGGTCTCCTGAAACCCCGCTCAAAACTATGTTAGAGCTTTTAATGTCCAGACTTTGTGCCAAATAGGACAAATAGCTTCCTTAGCTACGACCTTAGAATCTCGCGCCATCAATGTATCCTGCGTCTCTGAAACGTGCATATTCGAACCGAGTACAGTGATAAAAATTGACTTCACCTTACCTAAATAAAGAACCAACTCGGTTTACGCTCCGTGTATCTGGAAGCCGCACTGCCGCTTCCCGTGGCCTCGCCGGTGTAGGTATAGCATTGAGTCCTAGAGCAGAACTAGCTCTCTTAGACTGGATCCCAGTACATAGTCGTTTGCGCGCCGTCCGACTAAATGGGACAGTAAGGACTCGCAAAGTTAAGAACACTCGCCGTCGCCTCTGCGTCGTACTTGCCTACGTTCCCATTGACTGCAACTCGGACGATATGAAAGATGAGTTTTGCAGAAACCGCTCTAAATTTCTTCAAAATGTTGGGCGCTCTGATATAGTAATAATGGCTGATAACTTCAATGCTCAAGTAGGTGGACTAAGCGAAAAGTAAAGACACGTGGGTGGATCTTACGGTGTCGCAGCTGAGAGAACAGATAATCGCGACCGTCTGCAGTAGCTATGCTCACATAACCGCGTATATCTAGTAAACACTAACTTTAAGCATAAGGATGTAGGAACGACACTTTAAGAAACCCCATAGGGTCCTACTTGATTATAACAAAACTAAGAATATATTTCAGGAATAATTAAAAAAGCAGTTAGGTAGAGATGTCAGTGATGCCCACCTTGAGGCGGTTTGGAACAATATCCAAAAAGCCGCAAAAACAGTAGTGAGATATGCTGGTTGGGGTAAACTACAAGGTTGAGGAGAAGCGGTTTACTTCAGTAACATCTACCGAATTGATGGATGGTCGAAAACTCATTCCATCTGACTCTGAACACGACGAAAAGCGGACCCAACTTAGGCGCAGGCTGGTAACAATCCTACGCAACGATCACGAACAGTGGTCAGTAGCGAAAGCGACAGAGATGGAAAATGCAGCGGTGATAGGTAACAGTAGACAACTGTTCCTACTTTTCAAGGAAACGAGTCCATTTGTTAGCGAGACTATCTCCGAAAAGGATGGGGATATTATTCATTTTCAACCTAGGAGATTGGATTGATGAGCAGAATACATTAGGGAACAGTTCAACTGACCTTCAGCCACACTTCGTTTTCCTACGATCTTGGGTCAACCTGATTGGACAATCGATGTAATTCCTGTGACTCTAAATGAGCTAGAGAAACCTATAAGTTAATCTGAAGCGAGAGAGAGCAGTAGGTCCTCATAGAATAAACTAGGAGAGTTTTAAGGATTGTGGTAGAATGTGGGAACTGGGCGTAATCTCATCTGACTGGTCTCAATCCCTGATTGTCCCAATTGATGAGAAAGGACAGAAGTCCTGTGACAATCGCAGAGGAATCAGTCTAACTAATATAGTGCTTGAATTGTTAGCCTCGATAACGCTTAGACGCCTGACTAGAGCTCTTGGAGAGCAAACTAGAGAAAACCAAGCTGGTTTCAGACTTGGACGTGGCTGTATAGACCACCTATTCGCACTATGACAGGTCTTCGGACATACACAAATATTCAGTCGTCCGGCAGAAGTTGTATTGATGGACATTTAAGGGGCATTAGACTATGTTGATCGTGAGGTTCTGTGGCAGTGTCTGTCATAAAAAGGAGTGCAATAATCTTATTATACGAGCTTTCTACTCCAACACCACTGGTCGAGTGAGAGCTTATGGCGAACTGTTAACGGAATTCATTACTTCAAGTAGTGTCCGTCAAGGTTGTCCAGTCTCTCCATTCTTGTTTGATTTTGTCAAGGACTTGCTTTTAGATATAACATTATTTTCGTCTGACTTTTCAGGAGACTCGCTTGTTGACACTGACAAAATGTAGTCTTCTTACCACTTTTAGCAACAATCCGAGCACGTTCGAGATGTGGTTCTCCTTCTCGAAATGCAGATTGTTGCTTCAGGATTAGCCTGCATGAGCAACTGAACTAGTGATAGAGAGTGAAGCAGTTAAGGGTGTTGACCAGTTCACTTACCTTGAGAGTCTCATCAGTCCTGATAGAGTGGTGACTGACGAAATCTCAGCACGGATACATAAGGCTCGGCTGGCTTTAGTCAACTTTCGTCACTTATGGCATAGGAGGTACATCCGTTTGCTAACCAAAGGACGAAAGTACTGCGCAGCAGTTCGCTCCGTTCTATTTTATGGCTGCAAAACGACTAGTAAGCACTGGGGATCTTCGCAGGCTATTAGTGTTCGATCATTAGTGTTTTCGAATCATTGCTCGTTTATCTTAGAACAATTGAGTAAACAGTGCTGTTGTTAGGTAACGGTTGTTAGATAAGGATGAAAATCAATGGATGTAGTATTGAATGTTTATCAGTTCAGGTGGTTGGGACATGTATTACGAATGCCCAACCACCAGTCGGCTCGACTAGCCATGTTTTGCGATGTACGAATAGGTTGAAAGAAAGCTAGGGCGGCAAGACCTAAACATGGCAGAAACCCATGAAGTCACAGACAACTGGATTGAGTTACATTGGTAGGTGTCGACTGCCCGGTTGGGGCCCGCGAGATGATAGTAATCGATGGTTTGAGACCTTGAACGAGATATCTCAAAACCGTTTGCAATGGCGCAAGTGCATCCATTCCATGTCTTTTACTAAAATCCTAGCCTCTGAATTCTTCCTCACCTTTTTCTTTTTATTTTCAAGTTTATTTCACTAGATTCTAATTCTTGAATAATATCCTAGAAATCTACTCTCTCCGATTACTGCTACTACTTCTACTACTATGGGATTTGAATTGGGGATTGCGTCTCTGCGCTAACGTGGTATGGCAACTTGAACTGATGTACGTACGTACGGAGTTCTGTGTTGTAGCTGACTGATATATGTACATATAAATGAGCACATATTGAATGACATAAATGATTTCAATGCTGCTTAACCTTATATGCACGCAAACTGTTAGGATGATGGTATTGATTGCCTCTATGTATTATGAAATTAGCCAAATAACTGTCTTTGTCAAGAATCCTTAAAACCAACGATAACCGTGTTTTCGAAGATGACACAAAATCGCCGTTTTTTGATTAACAGTAGTCAGTTAGTTGGAAAAAGCAATGCAGAGCCTGGTACATATATGAATCGGTTCAATTTTTCATGAACAATTAGTGAGGTAAAATTATCACAACTAAATATCACACCTCATGACTTCGGCGACCAAATTATAATTCTTGGTCTAGAAACTTAGAGCCACATGAAATAATATTTATGAATCTATAAATTATGATAAACTTGATGGCTCTTCAAAAGTTATTAACTTTTAAAAATATACCTCTGATAAGCATGTTCTTAGGAACGATTCTGTGTAGCAAGCGTTGGCCTGAATGTCTTCTCCATAGGCCCATTTTATCTGTTTGAATAAACAATAATAATAATAATAATTAGTTACCAAAAAAATACAAAGGCATGAAAGTAAGGATATTTTCAAAAATATGTGATTTTTCTTAAGAAAATGAACCACAATTGCTCCTTACGCAGTTTCATGAGTACCTTAAACATACTGAACTTTAACAAGTGCATACGAGTCTTAAACAAATGTACTGTAATAATTATGTAATGCTTGTTTAATATCAGTAATTCATCTTTTATAATGGCTTTCATTTTTCACCGGTTTATCAACATATAACATTTATTTCATTGATGTTTAAAATCAATATGGACTCAATAGTATTGAAATGACTACATTTTCTGCATACTATAAGCACTATGCATTACGCTACCCAGTCATGGTTTAATAGCTGAGGTTTTCAACAATCAGTGATCAATGAGTAAAAAATCAGAATAATCGAAAGTAAAAATAATTTCTATTAACCACATATGTTTAGAAATCCCGAAAATTCATAATAATTATCTGAGATACATATACGCGGTTATGTGGGCATAGCTACTGCAGACGGTTGCGATTATCTGTTCTCTCAGCTGCGACACCGTAAGATCCACCCACGTGTCTTTACTTTTCGCCTAGTCCACCTACTTGAGCACTGAAGTTATCAGCCATTATTACTATATCAGAGCGCCCAACATTTTGAAGAAATTTAGAGCGGTTTCTGCAAAACTCATCTTTCATATCGTCCGAGTTGCAGTCAATGGGAACGTAGGCAAGTACGACGCAGAGGCGACGGCGAGTGTTCTTAACTTTGCGAGTCCTTACTGTCCCATTTAGTCGGACGGCGCGCAAACGACTATGTACTGGGATCCAGTCTAAGAGAGCTAGTTCTGCTCTAGGACTCAATGCTATACCTACACCAGCAGGCCACGGGAAGCGGCAGTGCGGCTTCCAGATACACGGAGCGTAAACCGAGTTGGTTCTTTATTTAGGTAAGGTGAAGTCAATTTTTATCACTGTACTCGGTTCGAATATGCACGTTTCAGAGACGCAGGATACATTGATGGCGCGAGATTCTAAGGTCGTAGCTAAGGAAGCTATTTGTCCTATTTGGCACAAAGTCTGGACATTAAAAGCTCTAACATAGTTTTGAGCGGGGTTTCAGGAGACCAGGAATAACATTTCATGTATTTGAATCGTTGGCATTAGCGGTGCGTGGTGATAAAGGAACGTGAGAAGGGTCGGTTTTGGAAATAAGATTTAATAGGTGTAAGAAGGATCCGATTGAGACTAATTTGGTCTCATGTGCTTTTACGGGTATGAGACGGATGTTGCTTACGTTTGCTATCACGGTTGAAGATATATACACGTCGGCTTTAATGTAAGCCGTATATTGAATGAAGAATGTCTAGAATCCTTCTATAAAAATTTGTTTCAAAGTTGAGTCCTTGCATACAAAGCAGGATGTATTATTTCTCAATATTTAGTGTGCAATCTTTGTAAAAATGCTTCGAAAGAAATTATCTCATTTGACACACGCCCGTAGTAAAATTTTGGGGTACTTCCCTGTCACTTGCTGGTCAAATGACAGATCGCTAAATACAATATGGTCGCTCAATTTATTTCCTTTTGTACGTAGAGCACATACGTACTCTTATCAATGACGTATCGCACTGTATGGCTGCTATCTTCCTTGTCGAATTAAAACGTTACATCCAAAATTTTGACGAAGTTAAGCACAATTGTTTAATATATACTGTAAATATCTTCGTAAGCGAATTTTTAGTTTATTAGATTTACTTCTATTTAGTTGATCTGTTTATCAATATAGGTATGTTTTATTTACTAATAGTTTTTTAGTTAACTTCACAGTATTGTTCAATAATGAATGACTGATTTCATCGCAAGATAATTATTATTATTTTCCTGGGAAGGATGAAATACCTGTTAGTTAGTTTTTTTCCTAATCGCTTTTTGTTATAGTTTGGTAACGTGATAGCTTTGGTCGTAGCTAAACGTGGAAATGCTATTGCTGAGTTTTCAACCTATAGTGAAGCAGTAAGTTTAGTTTCAAAGAATTTTTTTATACAATTATTTTACAGTAAAAGATGTAATTGTTACGTTAAGTAATTTACACAAGATTTGTAAAGTAAATCATGAAGTAGAATAAAGTAGATGGTACATAAATGTTTCAAGCATGAAGCTATGCAAAAACGTACAGAAGTACCACTTAATGGCACTGTTTTTCTCCAAATTGTATCATCCAAAGTTTCCAGAAGCTTATATTTATCATCACATGAACGCTATTCAGTTTCCGATTGGCTGTCAGTAAACTCATAGGCTTGTTAAAAGTATTTTTGTTCCAACAAACATAGTTCAAAACCTAGTTACCCCGATTGGAAGGCTTTTCATCTATCTTCCAACAACTAATGGATACAATCCTGTCAGATATCCCAGGGGTTGCAGCTTATCTCGATGATATCTTGATTGTTGCGAAGACGTTAGAACAGCTACGGGAACGCACGACATTGGTACTACAACGCATCAGTGACAATGGTTTCCGGTTACGCCCAGAAAAATGCCAGTTTCTATTGCAGTCGGTAAAGTATTTGGGATTTATCTTTGATGCCGACGGTCGCAGACCGGATCCTGAAAACATCCGAGCTATCAAACTGATGCCTACTCCCACTAATGTTTCCGAATTACGATCTTTTCTCGGTTTGATCAGTTATTATTCAGCTTTTGTTCCCTCGATGCATGATATTCGCGCTCCATTGAATTGTCTACTGCAGAAGCATAGCACATGGAACTGGAATAAAGAGTGTGACGCGGCTTTTGGTAAACTCAAGTCTATAATTAGCTCGGAATTGTTATTAACACACTACGATCCATCCATGCCGATCATCGTAGCAGCAGACGCTTCAGCATATGGCCTAGGTGCTGTTATTTCACATCAGTTTCCAGACGCGTCAGAAAAAGCCGTTATGCATGCATCCCGTACACTGACCCCAGCAGAAAAGAAGTATAGCCAGATAGAGAAAGAAGCTCTTGCCCTTGTGTTTGCTGTTCGCCGTTTCCATAAGTTTCTGTACGGTCGGAGATTCACGCTCCTCACAGATCACAAGCCTCTGTTAGCAATATTTGGTTCAAAGTCTGGCATTCCAGCCCATTCTGCAAATCGTCTCCAGCGATGGGCCTTGGTACTTTTGGGGTATGATTTCGAAATCCAATATCGACGCACTCTACAATTCGGTCAAGCAGACGCTTTGTCACGACTCATTAATGATCAAGTGGCGGCTGAGGAAAACATGGTGATCGCATCTCTGTCAGTAGAAGACCACGCAGAATGTGATCTGACAACCGCAGTTCGCGCATTACCGGTGTCTGCAACAGACATACAAAATGCTTCTAGAAACGACCCCATCATCAAGATGACGATGAAATATGTCACTAAAGGTTGGCCGTCGAAAAAGTTTGAAGGTGACATCAAGCAACTGTATCAGCGGCGGAATTCACTATGCATCGTGAACGATTGTCTCATGTTTGGTGAAAGAGTAGTGGTTCCAGCATCCCTTCGTGCAAAAGTGCTGAGACAGTTCCATCTTGGTCATCCTGGGATTAAACGAATGAAGTCCATAGCCAGGAGTTATGCATACTGGCCTCACATGGATCAACATGTCACAGCGTTGGTTGAAAAATGCATCCGGTGTCAGCAGGCGGCAAAGATGAATGCCAAAATTCCGCCGGTTTCATGGCCCAAACCTGAGCATCCTTGGTCCAGGATACATGTCGACTTCGCTGGCCCAATAAATGGAACTATGTATTTAATTGTCGTCGACGCCTTTTCTAAATGGCCGGAAATCAGCCCCGTTATGCCGCCCACTACAACTAAGACTATACAGCTCCTAACTGAAATTTTCTCACGAAATGGCATACCAGATGTGATCGTATCCGACAATGGCTCTCAATTCACCTCTTCCCAATTCCAGAATTTCTGTCAACGGCTAGCTATTAAACACTTACGCTCGCCACCATACCACCCGCAATCGAATGGGCAGGCGGAAAGGTTTGTGGATACGTTTAAAAGAGCACTGCTCAAGTCAAAAGGGGAGGGGACGCCAGCCGAAACGTTACAAAATTTCTTGTACGTCTATCGGACAACACCAAATGAATTGTTACCGGAGCAAAAGTCCCCAGCTGAAATCCTGATGGGAAGAAGATTGAAAACGATCCACAGCCTGATGCATCCGACTAATGCACCCTCATCAGTAAAGACAAAGCAGCAAAGACAATCCGCTTACGAAGTAGGATGCCCTGTGTTTGCCCGCGACTACAGAACGAACCATGGTCCTTGGGTAGAAGCGAGAGTGGTCAGAAGGGTTGGTCGAGTTATGTACGAAGTAGAGGTAGGAGGTGATAAATGGTCACGTCATCGCAATCAGATACGCAGACGGCTAGCCCCAGATCGCCCATCAAGAGCAGAAAGCCTTCCCCTTGACATCTTGCTTGATACCTTCAACCTACCGAGAGCCCCGCCACGAGAAGAAACTCAGCAGCAAGCTGTTCTTCGTTCCCGAAGGTATCCCCTCAGACAGCGGCGAACAATAGTCAAGATGCAAGTCAACCACAGGAGAACACGCTATTAAAAAGGGGAGGAGTGTTGGGGATGTTAGATCCCCAAAATTCGCTTGATAATGCCGTATTTCGGTTTTCACGTTCGCCAGCAGGGGCTGATCAAATGACCTTGAGATTTCAATTCCCACCAGGAAAATCAATGGCTGTGATTGGCTACAGTGTATTTTAGTATGCTATTTTCTTAACTGTCTCAAGGACGTTGTTATGTTGTATAAATAAACGAGAGTTGTATGCTTGATTGTACTGGATTGCTGGGTGTTTGTAGAATATACTTTCTACGCTTACCAAGACTTCTGTTTTACCGTTTGGATTCAAGGTAGCCTTCCTGGAAGCTGGTAAAAGTATCGTTCGCGTTTATCGACTAAGGTAAACTCGTAATAGCATCAAGC